TTCCGAAGGGTTATAACCTTTAATTAATGTGCACGATCGCTACGACAGTCACTCTTGTTTTTCAGCGGGCAAATTCAAATCAGGTGCAGTCTGTTTATTAAATTTGATGAAAAAATTTTATCATCAAATTTTGTTCAGTCAACCCCAACGACGTTTCCCAGCCGCACGGGAAGCCCTGATAGTATACGTCAGTGAGCAAATCATGCGTACTAGCGCATGTCGGCAGTTTAGCTGCATCACTGCATGAGAGCACTCAGTCGTGTTCGGTAACAGCCATCGCTCAGCAAGGTTCCCTTTACAGGGGTACACAGGGGAACTACCCACACCCTAGCGCTGCCCCGGCGCGCCTTCCCGAATAGAGTAACAGAATCGACCAAGGTGGAACTCGACTCCCAAACCCGCCAGGCTGAGCCCGATTCTGCCTGTCTGCATCATTACGCGACAACGCCTGGCTTCTAGGTGCACAGCGAAACCATACTTCCCGTCGGTAATTTGTGTCGCCGATCAGGAAACAATTCGTCGCTATAGTATAGCACGCCCCTTATCAAATGCGCAGTTTACGCCGTTATACGCCAGCCGAGTCGTGAAACCGCAACGACAAAAACATGTGAAACTACTTCACGTCGCATCATAAAACACGTCGTATTCCGGTCAATTCCGGAAGTAGAGTAGTAACACCGGCACTGTGAGAAATCATAGCACCAGCAGATTTAAGCCCCTCTTCCAACTAAGAAACCAGGATACTTGGTTGGATCAGTCACACTATTCGGTAAACGCTCACTAATTTGGAACGTGGAACTTGGCATAACTTGGAAATTGCATGCAAGGGGAGAAGGAACCAAGGAAGACCCAGACGCAACTTGGGTAGATCTATAGATGTCGTTCCAACAGGAATAAGAGCATCCTCGAAGGAAATGAAAACGGTGCAACGTACGTCTGCCCCGGAAGGGGAATTCGGCATGTGGCCTATGCCCCCTCACAAGAAAAAGAGTTTAAGATAAGTATAGTCTGTAGGTGTAACACCGTGCAGTGTATGTGGAACCTTACTATATTCATCAGGAGTAGATAATAGGGTTATATCCCTATTATCTACTCCTGATATTCATACTGTAATTTTTTTACCAGCACAATTTCTTTGTCAATCCGCTACACATTGCGCTTTTAAATATATCGAATCCCTGGCGTACCGTATAAGTTTTATTATTATGGTTAGGGTTAAATAGAGATGGAATTTCGAGTAATCGGCCTACTGTCGCTTAAGGATGTTCTGGATCGCCTACTGCACTGCTTTGCCAGAGAGTTTCCTGAACTACTACACCGAGGAGATAACCTACATGTGACGGCGACTTGAGGCACATTCGTCGCATATAAAAATATCTATGGCACTACAAGTAAGGTGTAGCTGCTGGTAGCTATTAATCGCAGATTGATTTCATGTTATTGTCCTAAACAGGTGCTGATATGAACAGCGACTTGCATAAAGCGCGACTCGGGGAATTCTGGAAGCGCCTGTATGCGCGTGATGACTGCTGCTTCTATAACGATGTGTAAATAATTTACTACTGGTCCCATTACGTTGCTAATGCAAGTAGCGCAGACGCTGCACGATAATGGAGCGCGCGCGCATGTGTTTTTTTTGCCAGCGATGGCCAAATTAGCCTCTTCAGACCTCTGCGCAGCAGTTGGATTCGTCGATATACACTGCGTATTTAGGCCCTAGTGATCGCGAAGCGAGATATGGTGGGTTGACGGCAAGCGTTTTGCCGCGTTGGCATTTTTTCCATGCAGCTGCTCGCAGCAGCTGCAAATTTTGGACACGCGGTAATTACGTGAAGTGGCGGTCGATAACTGGGCGGTTTAAAGCCGTAACCTCGCCCGATCAATGAAGCTAGGCGAGACTGAAGTATTTAAGGGTTGCTTTATCAACTCGCCAGAATATCAGATTAGTTGAAAATTCCGCTAGACCGAGTTAAGCCCTGCCCATACTAACATGCTATATTATGAACAACGCAAGCTGGGTATCTAAAAAAAATTAAATCTCTGATCTAATCTCTAATCGCTAATCACTTAATCTCAGCATGTAATCTCTTCCGTGAACACCGTATTACAATGTGCACGTGTGTTCTTTAATTATACACATTACCACAACCTACGCGTGAGTTCTTTATGAAGATCTGAACATTTCACAATGACCTGCACGTATCTTCGTTGTAACGAACATCTTATCATGATCTACACGTATGTTCCTTCTAATGAACATCTTACAACGTCCTACACGTATTTTCATTTATAATTAACGTTTTACCACGTATATTTCGCGCGCCCGTTTATTCATGAAACTATTCAGTTGTTATTTCAGTTTTGAACAACATTTTTTCACGCGTTTTGGTATATTTCAATCATATTGATATGAAAGATTGATATTATATTTTCCTAAATCTATTCCGGTAGATAGCGACGGACAAATTGGCTGGATTTACACACACGCACGAGCAAATAAGCGCGTTGCAGACATCTGCGACATGTGGGACGCAGTAGAAGGCAAATACCCGACAACATCTAATAAGTGTGCTTACAGCGAGTGATTGCTAAAACCAAATCAACCTTCGCTGAAATTTTCCTGAAGATGCCAGCATGCGCGCGCACACACGCACACACGCGTACGTACACGCACGCACGCACGCGCGCGCGCGCACACACACACACGGCATACACACTCGTGCACGTACGTACACATCACGCACACATACGCGCAGTGAAACACACGCACACACACGCGCGCGCGCACACACACGTTCACGCAGTAAACATTCATACACCCATTCGCCGTAACTAAGGATACAGACTATACAACACCAACATGTTTAAGATTCAGTTACACGTAGTTGGATTAATATTCACATATAATCAGCAGTGAATAATAACAAATGTTTCTATTCACTCCTGATATTATGTTACTCTTATCTTGATTGGGCTCATAATGACCACGTAAAGAACACAACTGAACCACGAAACAGTCGTAGGAAAACATTTTATACAACATATTAGGAATACGCACTTAAATTCCAACCACGCAAAAGGATTTGGTTCACGATATAACGCAAAAGTTAGTTTGACAGTGTAGACAATTGGACACAAGTATGTTGTAAAACAGGGCTAGTTTAGCAGTCAATAGCAGCATTGCAGGTAACTAAAAATGGTCTTGTGGTTGTAATTTAAAGATGTCCCGACTTACATTTAAATGTCAAAATAACTTAATAGTAAAACTAGGATATATCATAGATATATTTATATTCTTCAAGTACTAGTACTTCATAAAAACATTTCCATACAGCCGCAACACGGGCCGTTCGCGACTGTTGTTTTAAGCCTAGCGTACACACCCGAGCAAAACGGAAAATTTTGTTTTCCAGCGTTTCGCGTTCTGCTCGGCGAGCAAGCGCACACAAGCCACCCGACACAGCACACAGCTGAGCAAAACATACAGAAACCCTGCGTACAGCGCCGCTGTCACATGACATCAAAAATAGATATCCAATGGACATCCAATTTTGTGTGTCATGTAATATTTTTAAGGATATTGATTGGAGACCGTCTGTGGCGTTTCGCTGTGTAGCAGAACGATTGACGCGCGCACACACACACCCGAGCAAAACGTACGCTCAGGCGAAAACACGTTCCGCGAATCAAACATTGCTTGTTCAGCGAAACACGCTCAGCTGAGCAATGTTTTTTGTTTTGGGAATCCGCACACATCCACGAACATCGAGCGAAACACGTTTTGCTCCACGTTCAGGGTGTTTTGCTCGGGTGTGCGCGCTAGGCTTTAAGCATAACGTATGTATTTTCGTAAGCGTAACGTTTAAGTATTTTCGCCTGAGCGCACGTTTTACTCGGGTGTGTGCGTCAATCGTTCTGCTACACAGCGAAGCGCCACAAACGGTCTCCAATCAATATCCTTGAAAATATCACATGACACACAAAATTGGATGTCCATTGGATGGCTATTTTTGATGTCATGTGACAGCGGCGCTGTACGCAGTGTTTCTGTATGTTTTGTTCAGCTGTGTGCTGTGTCGGGTGGCGTGTGTGCGCTTGCTCGCCGAGCAGAACGCGAAACGCTGGAAAACAAAATTTCCCGTTTTGCTCGGGTGTGTGCGCTAGGCTTTATTCAATTCGTATGGATGAAATCTCAAAAAACTACGAAACTGCGGTGCATGCAATGTAACACTACCATGGGAAAAGACAACTGCGACAAAAACCCAAGTGCATTTACAAGGTTTTTACTGAAATTAATGTTAACCAATCAAACAGCGTACCCTATAGTGACTGAAATGTACCCGGGAAAATTATTGTTTACACGCATCTTTTCAATGGTTTTAAAAGCGTGATTACCAAAAGCACGAGCGTTAAAAGCACTTATACACCTTCAGCGCACGATCACGTAAATGCACTCACCCATTCATAGACTATACATAGTGTAGTGTAACTATCGTCCACGACTATATTCACGCGGTACGTGCTCCACGAGTAGATAATTAGACAAATTTGCCTATAGTTGTTATCTACGGTACATATGCGTGATTTCTGTTCATGATTCAAAATTGGGTGACAATTCGCCCATCTTCAGCGATATTTTCGTCTCTCTATATGTCACTTTCTCTCAATCTACCACACGTACTATTAACCTCCGACTCTGAGCCATTGATATATTACGCCTTCCTATATACATTCATTTACACCCAAAACGTGGAGTGAATTGCCTACAACGCGCTATGGCACGAGGAAGCACGACACCGGCTACGAATCACGCACGCGCGCGTACCTCCCACGCCCTCACTCCGCACATATACGCCTATAGGGGCCTACTGCTGCTGCTGCTGCTGCTGCTGCTGGGTGCACTCTCGTAGCACTACTACTACTTTTATCAGGAGCGTATAATATAGAGCACATATAGATCTACACTCCTGCTATTATTAATACTACTACTACTATTACTACTACATGCCACTCACCCGTGTCTTCCCGGATCCGGTCGGTCCGACCAGCATCAATCCGTGACGCACGACCGTCGTCTCGTACAGCTGAATGCACTTTGTCACAAAACCTGCAAAAAAGATGCCCGACTATATTATATAGTACAATGCAGTGATTCTCAGACGGGGTTGCACAGCTAGGCGTACGGAGCTAGCAGTCTTGGTGGGGGATAACAGCTAGACGATGGGGGGGGGGAAATTGCGGGCGAACAGACTAGCGTAAGGGAAGCACATCAGAGGAGCAGAATGGTCTGTCTTTCACGTACGTATATACGCACGTAGACTTAGGTTTCTGCACCACAGTAAATTTCATTAATGCCAAATTCTAGATTCAAAAAAAAGTAAATAAAAAACACATTATACACGCCCTGACAGTGATATACACGATTATAATCATTATGCTGCGTACGTTAATTACGCAGGTAATTAATAGTTTAAAACCAACTTGCATAGTTGGTTATATATTAGTATATCAATGTATTATAGGATATCTATGCAGTATATAGTTAGTGTGGGGTTGACACCGGCCTATACTCCAACGGATAATTTTTGCCATAAAACGTTACTTAGGTAGGTCTAGGTAAGACCTTTAATAAAGATAACATACAGATTATCCTCGATACCGAAACGCTACACCGAGTTCGTGCCAATGAAATTTTTACAGAAATTAAATGAGGTGGAGAAACTTCGCATGTTGTCGAGAAGCACGATGCAAGTGGGTAGGAGTGGATGAAGATAAAGTGCACTGGCACGCATGTATTGTAACATGACGATCTACTTGTGAGCGAGAGCGCATGCATGCACGAGGCGTGATCGCATTGCAGCTCAGCTACAAAGCCGCTGTTCACACCAAAAAACCATCAGTGTAAGAGTTGAGAACATAAGAGATATCCCTCGCCCCCCCCGTCTCTCTCTCTCTCTCTCTTCTCTCTCTCTCTCTCTCTCTCTCTCTGGTTCGCTTGCTCGCTCGCTGTCACACGCAAAGACACACGCACGCACGCACGCACGCACGCACGCACGCACGCACACACTCATACGTGCGCCTCTCTCTCTCTCTCTCCTCCTTTCACTCTAATACGCCCCCATCCCCTCTCCCTCCCTCTCACTCCTACCTCCCTCGCTCGCTCTTCGTGCATTAGGTGCCACAGGTAACCGCGTGAGGATTTGTTACCTGCAAAGACCCTACTTACTGTTTTTTTTATAATATTATAATACAATATAGCTTTACCATCCACGTCCTTGAGACCAAGCTCGACGCAGCTGCTGCGGATAGATGACATCAGGTCGCCATAATCGATATCTTCTTCTCTACAGCAACAGAATACAAATTGTACATGTGATGATAAATTACACAATATAATTACAATAGTAATAACCAATTAATAATAGGTGGCAGCGCGACAACTGTACGGCTTAGCTAGTGTTTGACTTGGGGATAATGCTACCATATATACTACTGCTGCTACTGCTGGTTTCACCGCCGACGCCACCACTGCTGCTGTTATCGTTGCTTCTTCTGCTGCTGCTGCTGCCAATACTACTACCACTACCATTACTACTTTACAATTCACTATTTACTAAGCTTAGTCTACCTATGAGTTATTATACGCAGCTAAATACATTAGAACACAAATGTTACGTTAAACATTGAATTAGCTTCGTCATTATTTACATTAGCTTATTTACATTACCAATACATAATCACAATGCAGAGAAGCAGACTGAAATCTACGGTATTCAGACAAACTATAGCATCTGCATTCGATCATCAACAAGGCAGACATAATTTTTTGGTTGCGCAGGAAATTCGGAAATTTGGTAGAGGGTTAGAGTGCATCATTTCCTTTACTTTTTATTGAGAATCTGAGATACTGTTCTCATCCACTGGTTGAAACCTTTTGTCGCGTATCGTGAGAGCCATATTAGTAGCAAAGAAAGCGTTTCCGGTAAGTGACAGCCCTGCTCGCAATCAGCAGCGCGCGATTTTCAGTCGGCAGTACCGGTTTTTAATTCATGGCACGTGAAATTCTGCGCCAATTACAATGTGGTTTATTTCGCAGCCTATATGATTTATATATATATCATATATAATCATATATGATCATATATAATCATATATAATCATATATAATCATATATATGTGTGTGTGCGTGCGTGCGTGGGTGCGTGCGTGTGTGTGCGTGTGTGTCTGTATGTGCGTGCGTGCGTGCATGTGTTTATATATATTTTATTTATTTATTTATTTAGTTAGTTAGTTAGCTAGTTATAAATATTATATATATATATATATATATATATATATATATATATATAAAATACATTTATTTACGTATTTATTTAATTATTTACGTATATATTCAATTATATATACATACAAAACTCGGCATTCTGACACCAATTCTCAAATCAGGTGCCATAATAGTAACGAGCTCACGACTTCATATCGCTACCACGATGAATGCCATGTAAGGAATCACCTAATGAAATCCTGGCATGTGAAACCTGTTCATCTCTGAATTCCCCCCACGAACTTCAATCATCTATACACGTGGGCGGTTTGCAGCTTATTGTGGCTCATGTGCGCACATAAAACAGCAAATAATCAGTCAGAATATATATATATGCTTGTTTTTCGGCTCTGAAACCTTGCAGAACTTGCGTGACGAGTTGGCAGTCGCTGTTATGCGGTGACCCCGACTAAACCGGATAGAATAGTAGAAGCGAAAACGAGATTTTAGAAGTTAGTTATTTTTTAAGCGAATACGGCCAAAGTTTTCACGAACCAGCAAAGCTTTCTATCATCACGTAGCGATTAACGGGTCGGTGGTGCATGAGCAAGAAAAGCAGATTTGTCACACAGACAGTAAGACTCCCACACGACATATCAACGGGCTTATAGTAACCTGCGTCAATTTTTCATTTGTCTCCTACCCATGGGAAGATCAAGGACATACACGTGTAGCAGGTAGCGCGGCCTTCACATCTATCATGCCATGACATTACGAAGTTAAGCTTCTACTCGCAGTAGAAGACTTTCCTTACACACACACACAACAATCGCGCATGCTATAGCGAGCCCATGACACACGCTTCAACACACGTATTGGCAATATCGTTCAACATTTGTTGACATTAAATGTTGAGAAATTAATCAACTCCATTCAACATTTTTTGGCAATAATTCGAAGTGTAATAAATGCTAATATTTACAGGGCTAAGATTAACAGACGGGCAACTAAAAATGCTTGTCGTCCGTTAGCTAACTAACCGCTGAACTGTCTAATGTTATAAACTAGCAAATCGATATTTTCAACTGCGCAAACTGTTTATGTGCTCTTGATATATGTCATATTACTCCTCGAAAAAACATGATACTACGTTAGTCAGCCAGTCAACTAAACACTATTAAGCTACATGCCATATTAGGAGATAATAATACATGGGTTTTTAAGCTCTGAACTATACACATAGGGAGACGACTTGATAGGGAGATGTCAAGGGTTTGTTCATAGAATATTAACATTCCGGGGGCTCAAGCGCGTCTAGTCTAGCCGTGCAGTGAGTCTTTAGTGTTTTTATCCCGGCGCGCAATGTAATAGGCCTAAATCAAATTATTTTCAAATCAAAATGACCGCAGGATTAAAACAGCATACGCCCGCGTTTGTGGCTAAAATTATTTCGAAGTATTACAGACAAATTAAATTAAGATGTTTGTGGTCAGATTTCGATGTGGAATTAATTCATGCAAGCAAACTTACTTGATCTTCGGGAATAGGTCTGAAACGATGCCGTTAAACAGCTTCAGGTCATCCTGTAGGAACTTGGGCACGTTCACGTCCCTAATGGCTCTCAAGACAATCAGTTCCTAGAAAGAAAAAAGCGCCATGCAACGCCCATAGGTTATCACGTGTGTGTGTGTGTGTGTGTGTGTGTGTGTGTGTGTGTGTGTGTGTGTG